TCATTGCCATACAGTCCTTATAAATCATGTTTTCTTCTTGATTAATTCATGTTTTCAATGATAGTTAAGATTCAATTGAATTTATCGAGGTAGTATTAAGCTTTTTCTTGTTTTAATTTATATTTGAAAATTATCTTTTTGTGTTTAGCATGGACATACCTTCTCAACAAGACGTCCTTGAAGCGTCACTCAGCTCGTCTAAAAGAAGTCTGCACTGCGTGTGCTCAAATGCCAGGTTGCACCGGAACACCAAGTATTCTTTCTGCATGCTTAGTGTCAACAGAACCTGAACCATACTTGAGAATGTTCCCCGGCTTCGCTTCCACTGATGCGTACAGGTATGAAGTACTTAAACACACCATTAAGGAAGAAGTATCTAGTTGTACTATTTCAGCAAAAAATCTCGTTCTGCTGGACCGGATGACACCACTGTTACTCACATAATGGTTTTTCCAACTAGTGCTGATATACAGGTAGCCTTTGACTGAATTGTGAATATAAAGATTTCTAGATCACCATCATGTAATTTTTTGCTTTTTTTATCACAACCTGTTTTCGATTATCTCAGAATGGCCAATGAAACTGAAGTGTTCATAATTTTGTGCCTTTCTTCCTAGCGATACAATGTTCAGCTTGGTGCCGCTGATCAACATGCTGCTGGCGATGATGACTGGGATATGGACCTAGTTGATATGGATATCCCACAAGACGGAAACGATCTTGGAGACGATTTCTTGTCCAGTCTTTGTATGGTAAGATCTGGATTTCTTTCATTTTAAGCTATGTTTGCTCTGTTATCATGACTGATTTCGATTTGACGCAATTGAATAATTTCGCGTACCTACAAACTCTCTTATATCAATGTCAACTCTTTTTTAATGCTCATGTACTCTAAAAAAGTTCATTTCAGGACACCGGCCCTCCACAACCAAGTGCTAGTTTCAGAACTGCAGGAAACTCATTCTTCTCTGAGAACACCGCTGGTGGGTTTTTGGATCTTCGTACATGTTCTCATATCTTCTTTATGAGGTACTGATCCAAATCCTTTTGAGATGTGTCAATGGAAAACCAACCGCTGGCAACTGGTTATTACGTATCCACTGCACCTGCAGCTGATGTGCCAGACTGGTTTTGGTCGAGCTGTCCAGGCGCAAAGAATCGAACACCAGTTCATTTGAAGTCATCATTACACATTAACGTACCATTAGTGCATCAGGTGAGGGAAGAGTTTTGCTCGCAAGCAACCCATTCTGGTCGAAAATC